CATCTCTACAATAAATCAAAAATTAGCCGGGTGTGGTAGCACGCACCTGTAGTTCCAGCTGCTTGGAAGGCTGAGGCGGAAGGATCGCTGGATCCCAGCAGGTGGAGGCTGCGGTGGCCGGGAGAGGCCACTGCACTCCAGTCTGGGCGACAGAGTGAGACTCCAACTCAAAAATAAATAAATAAATAAATAAATAATAATAAAAAAAAATCAAGTAGTTGGATGAGAACAAAGAGGAGGTGGGACTTAAATTGGCCTTGAAGGATGAGTCAGATGTGAGTAGGTACATACGGCAAAGAAGGACCTGACTGAAATGAGAAAAGGAAGTAGGAATGAGCCCAGAAAGTTTGTACCTTCTGCTGGTACGGTAGGTAATATGCATTAGAAAGGGGAAGTGTTTGGACTTGTGGAACAAAAAGCCACGGATGCCTCTAGCTCAACATAAGCAAGAGTGTGTCCGTTATGAGTTACAGTTGACACATGATCACTTGGCTCTCTAAACTCGTTCAAAGGCGATGTGTAATCCCACTTTTCTTTTCTCCATTGACTACATATTCATTCAAGGAACAGAAGGCTAAAGAAGAAGAAAAGGAAGAAAAAGAAGAAGCCAAGTCGGAACCCGAAAAGGCCGAGTATGTAGACTTTCTGTGTACTTTCTTTTGTTGCATTGAGTCTCTTTCTTGTACTCTCTCTACTGGTGCTGAAAGGGAGCATCTTGAATTGCTAAAGAGCCTCAGGACAAAAGGAGCCATCTCAGTGGAGGGGCTTCGGTGGCAAGGACCTCAGGCCATGGCAGAGAGAAGTATAGATACTCCCCAGGGCTATCATTCTAGCCTTTTCCTCTTCACGCCATGAGGTTTCCTTTGGGTGATCCTCTCAGGCGGAAAGACTCCAGTGATTCCATGGAAGGCTCGCCATAAGAGGACGGACAGCCACAGCTTTGTCTTTAAAAAACCCATGTATATTTCTGTCCTTTTAAAGAAGGGAGGAAACAGGCATTCCAATGTAGTTGCACAGAATCTTGTGGAGTGATGCTCCTCAAAGCATAATCCCAGGGCCACATGCATAAAAATCACCAGGAGAGTTTGTTAGAACAGATTCCTGGGTCCCACCTCAGAGATTCTGACTCAGAAGATCAGGTATGGAGTCCAGGAATCTTCATTTTCACCAACACTGCAGGAATCAATGCAGCAATAAAAGATAAAGAGCTTGATATAAGGCAATGAAACGTATAACTCCCTCGCAACACTGGGTTTGTGTTAATAATTGAAGCCTACTTCTTTATCTACGTTTATATAATTTTATGTGCACATTTTGAAAATTGGAAAAAGAAATAAAAATTCGGATGCCCATAGTGCTGCCATTGTCACATAACATTTTATTTTTCTTCTCTGTTATGCTATTTTCTTTGACCTGTTTTCATTATGTGTTCTTTGTAGGTAGCAATATTCTTTGTCACAGATCATGCACTATTGGATCAGTTGTAAGAATGGGTAAATAAATGATGGATGTCAGGATAAAAAGCAGACATAAACAATAGGGCATTACAGGAATTCCAATGGCAATTCTTTAATATTAAAAACATACCTCATATGACTTAAGGTTAAGCATGGCTTGTATATGTGGATTGGATACATATGACTTCACTTTAATGAAGAATTGATATATTGCACCTAGGGAGTTTTTAGATATCAAATGTCATTGCTTTTATTGTCTGGAATTAATATAACATTAATATAATTAACTTAGTTATAATTATATTCAATTAATCTACTGTAATTAATAAAATTAATGTTAATGTATGAGTATATTGATATGCTTTATACATGTGAACAATCAACTGTATAGGCCTCTGATTTTTTAATCTTCATGGCCAGGCAATGTTAAAAATTAAACATTAAAATCATAATTCTAAGATAATGTATGATGGACAGTCCCAGCAAAAACTAAGTCTTCATTGTTATCCTTTCTAAATGTTTTTACTGCCCAGTTGGGAGGGAATCTGTTACATATAAAGATTCTTCAAGCCCGTATGTGTCTTCTAGATTTGAACTTCACAGAATTATCCATCCCAAGGGACTGTAATGAACAAGAAGTCCTACCCCTGCTCCTAACATTCAGAGTATTATTCACTGGAAGAATTCTTTTTCAAAAATAATACTATGATCTAAAATGTCTATTCACTTGTATATTTTTGCACAATATCCATTTAGCTCTTTCGTTTCTGGGTAGCTCATATTTCATTTGTTTGATTTCACAGGGGAGAAGATGGAGAAAAAGAAGAGAAAGCCAAAGAAGACAAGGGTAAACAAAAGTTGAGGCAGCTTCACACACACAGATATGGAGAACCAGAAGTTCCCGAATCTGCATTCTGGAAGAAAATCATAGCATATCAACAGAAACTTCTAGTAAGATGTTTTAGAATAAACATTGTTGCTGATATATTGTGAGACCATAATAACTTAGGCTCAGGAAATATTCACTGACCTTCCCTTGAGTGGCAATCAGGGAACCATGCTAGTCCTGCACCTACATTTTACCTGCCCATCTTAGTGTGTTTATTTTTTATAGTGAATGCCTTTGACTAGCCACTCCCTATTGTTAAACCCATAACCTCTACACACATTCACACTACCTGAAGCCCTTTGATTTAGTGACTGCTGGGGCAGTGCTCCCAGTGTCCTCCCACAAAGTCTTGAGGGCAAATCAATAAATATGTTCTGAGGCCCTGCAATAGATGAAAGTAAAACATGCCTCCTAGGGCACAAAACATTCATATTAATGTTTCAGAACTAGCTCAGTCAGTATTTCTATAATATTATCCTTTTATTTAAAAATCCAGTTATAAAAATACAACTCATTGAGTCATCTTTTCATTGATGATAAGATCCACTCAAAATTATCCTTGAAATAGAGACAAGTAAAAGAAAGATAAAAAACTGAAGAGCAAGACGATAGTTCTTTATGTGGTATCCTATACATTTTGCAGAAGTATTCCCCAAATTAGTAAAACACATATTCATATTTAGAAAACAAAAAAAAAAGGTATGGTTCTCTATCTCTAGTCATATTCATAACAGAAATCTTGAAAATCTTGTTTGAAAGATCTTCTGGAAATATGTGTATGTGTAATATTTTATATACATATATATGTATATATATATATAGAGAGAGAGGATATATATATATATATATATATCCTCTATAAAGGAGGAAAAGGATAGGAGATTAGTGTGTAGAACCAACTTTTAAGAGTACTGATCAATAATGCCAGACTTAGAAATTAAAAACAACACCCTCATAACAAAGCTATTTGAAAGGCAAGGTCATAGTTAGTGCTTTACATCCCTTGAGAAAACAAAAATAGATAATTAAGAAACTCAGTGGACTATAGAACTTTCCACTACAAGGGAAATGCAATCTTCAGTAATTATATATGTAAATGAGTATTTATAAACACATGCATTTTATATTTTATATAATTTATGCATATGTTTTTAATTAATAGTCTTAACTGCCTTCTTAAACCATCTTGTATTTTCTTTTTTTTTCTTTTATTTTGAGTTGGGGGTCTCTGTCTGTCATCCAAGCTGGGATGAAGTGGCATATTCACTTATATTCCTTATAAACAGCTCCCATTTATACTAAAGCAAATACCTGATTTCCACCATAGCCTATTTCATTAAACCCACTTTGCTTCTAGGTTGTTGAATTGTTTTGCTTTGTTTTTTCCCTGCTTAATAAATTGCACCAACCATTCACTTAGTTGCATAGGTCCCCAAATCCAGAAGTTATCAGCTTAGAGTCCCCTCCCTTTCTTTCCCACCTCAAATACAATCCAACAACAATCCTAACTCTTTCAGAACCTGCCCAGTTCTTGCCATGTCCACGGCTACCAGCAAGTTCAAGCCACCACCATCAACATCACCTCTTCCTGCAGTCTTATAACTTTCTAACAAATCCTCTTGCTTCCACTTTTGGTCCTACTATGCATTTTCCACACAGGAGCTGGAATGATCTTTCCAAATCATAATCTGACTGTATCAAGTCCCTCTTAAAATCCCCCAATAACGTCCCCCCCCCCCAGAATAAAAATAAGTATAAGCTGGGCTCGGTGGCTCAGCCTGTAATCCCGCGCCTTTGGGAGGCTGAGGTGAGTGGATTGCCTGAGCCCGCGAGTTCGAGACCCGCCTGGGCGGTGAGACCTCATCTCTACAATAAATCAAAAAATCAGCCGGGCGTGGTAGCGCATGCCTGTAATTCCGGCTACTCGGAAGGCTGAGGCGGAAGGATCACCAGAGCCCAGCAGGTCGAGGCTGCAGTGGCCGGGAGCGGCCACTGCACTCCAGTCTGGGCGACAGAGTGAGACTCCAACTCAAAAATAAATAAATAAATAAAAATAAAACTAAGTATCATAACAATATTGCAGTTATAGATAATAAATATGTTATTATAATAAGATCACTAGTCAATTTCCCCTATATTAACTCATTTAATCCTCAAAGCAAACTTAGGGGGTGGGTTCTGTTATTAACCCACTTTGCAGAGGAGCAAAGTAATGCTACACAAAACATTAAGTCGGTTGTCCACATTCCACAATTACTAGGTGGTTGAGAAAAGCTTCATCCTCAGGCACTGCAGTCCCCAGAGGTTTTAAACAGAAACACTGCATTGTAAAAGACAATCCAGAATTTTACCAGAATCCTACAAACCCTGCCCCTGCCTACCTATCTGACCTTATTCTCTGTCCACTCCCCACGCTTCCTTCTTCCTATGCCTTCTTCTTACTATTTCTCAAACCCACCAACTCACTGTGAACTCAGGGTCTCTTGTTGCCCCCCTCTGACACATAATTCCCCTAAATATTCTCATGACTTTCTCCCCTACTGCGTTCAGGCTGAAATGTCACCTCCTGAGTTAAACCATTTAAAATAGCATTCCCCCATTCCTTAAGCTCTTTACCTGATGTATTTATCTTCGCAGCCTTTGGCATTCCCTGAACTTACATTTCGCTGTTTGTAGGAGTGCTTCTTTATTCTTTATCTCCTCCATGGAGGCAGACATGTTCTCCTTCACTGTTAGGTCTACAGCACCAAGACTGGTGCTTGATATATAGTGGACTCACAATCAGTAGTTGGGGTAAATAAATGAATGCTTTATTTAAATGAATGTACATTTCAAGTCTCTTGATTCAGTGACCTTGTCATAATTTTTTTTGCCTTCAGAACTATTTTGCTCGCAACTTTTACAACATGAGAATGTTAGCCTTATTTGTCGCATTTGCAATCAATTTCATCTTGCTCTTTTATAAGGTACGTACGTCTCAGTGTTTTAACAAGCTGTATAAAACTACAGATAGACTGAAATGAATGTAAAGATTTCACAATAAACATTACTACTACTACGTGTGAACACATCTAAACCTGTTATGAAATGCATTGTAGTGAGAGAGTAAACCTGATGCCAGGGTACCTCACTGTTATGTAGGAAGGTAGGATTGATCTCTTCCTGGGAACTAAGTGAAGAGTACCTCAACTGAAAAACATTTGATTTGGCAGATGGTTTACCCACAGTGTTGTAGCCTAATTTAGCTGAATATTTTACTTGTGACTATGTCGGGT